TTTATCACCTACATGCCTGATGAGCTTCTAATATTTGAGGGAGAAATGAGGCTTTTGAAGATGTTAAGACTCTCACATTTTTGTTTTAAAAGCTGTATCAGAGATGTAACTTGCTTTAAAGCTGTGCAAATGCGTAGTGTGCTTGATTTTTTCTATTGCCTTTTTTTCCCAATATTACAGTCAAAGATTAGAAATAAGAGCACAAGTTGCAGATGCCTTCTTATCCAAATTCCAGCTGACTGCTGATGAAATGAGTCTTCTCCGAGGTACAAGAGAAGGACCTATTACGGAGGTATTTTGTTCAGCTAAACTCACCGAAGGTGCAGCAGTTACAGATGTTACAAAGAACTCACTCTTTGTTAAGGCTTAATTTTACCACCTAAAATTTTTTTTTGATTTAAAAATGTTTTTAAATTTGGGTGCTTATTTTAAATTACTTTAATTTGTTTTTTCAAAGCAGTATATATACTTTTGTTTTTAGAAGTCAAGGCTTATAAAGAAAACCTGCATCACCTTTTCCATTCCTTCCCTTCTTGTCACCATTTTCAACTTTGTTCATTGCTTCTTTTGTGAATTCTATATTCTAGCTCTATAGTTAGAAAGAATATGCTTTGATTATCTGTGTCAACTACTTTCTGTTGATTTCCTATCATGAACTGTGAGGATTTAGCCTCTTCCCCCAGGGCCCCCTCGTCCTTCACACTTACACGTTCCCTTCCTTCTGACCTCGCAATACAGTTATGTGACATGTTCTGTTTCCATCACAGTGACATTATGAGTTCGTGTTCTTTCTTTTACAACTTTCTGTCTTTCCTGGAATTAGAATTTCCTTATCTTTTCATTTGGTTAATTTCTGAACCCAGGCCATTCTCTTTCTAAACATACAAACTATAAAACCTCCCCAGATGCTGAACAACAGGGAAAGGTGTCATTCCTTTTTCTTTTTTTTCCTTGAAAGTGTTTAGTTTTTCCTGAAAAGAGTCTTTCAGTGTCCTAACTGGGGGACCTATAAACCTGTGCCTGCTGCCATCATTGTGGGGCCTGAGGGCAGGAGGAGTTCTTGAGGTGGGGTTGGGGGGAGGTTTACTGAGTGGCTCCTGATAGATGTCACTGTTACCCTACTGCCGGGGCTGGAGTGGAACCAGTCCTGGGCGTAGGGCATTGAGTAGGTGAGAGAACTGGTAGGCGCATTACTTATTAGTATTTATTGCCCTTGTAGTTTGAGGAACTTGGCACATTTGAAATATCTGACATCTCACCATTTTTCCCTCTGGCAGAAATAGTAAACAGTATTAGAAGAGATTTTTTAAAAATTTGTTCATTAAAGGAAAATAACTCATCCATAATTTTCATGGTTAGAACACTGCTTGTGGCTGTCTAGAAACTGAGGCTCCAGTACCTTTCTCTAAAGCAAAAAAAAAAAACAAACCTGGGAGTTCAGCAGTCTATTCCTGTATATTTAATGAGCATCTTTTATACATCCAACTTTGCATTCTGCTTTTGGATGAGGGGGCAATAGTGGATATATAATAAACTTATAAACCATCATCTTTGATGATAATAAAGCCATGCTGAATTAAGTCATAAGCTGTGTAATATATAGCATGTTTTTCTTTATGTGACAATCTTTAGATTTGCATTTCTCTTTTGCAAAGCTATGTACTTCTTGAAGACAGGGGTTTATCTTGTATCTGCAACTTAGCACACTATCTGACACATACGAGACATTGAATTAATATGTCTTAAAACGTGAATAAATATCTGTTAACTTTTTATAGAAACTTAGAGAAAGTTGAGATTAGTATAGGAAGACTTCATTAGAGTAAGTGAAATAATTTGTCCTTTGCAGTGATATTTCGATTTAGAGTAATGTAATTTTACCTGAAAACATGAAAATTTTAAAATTACATTCTTGATTTTAAAGGATTTTTTCAAGGCACTAGGAAGAGTAAAACAGATTCATAATGATGTCAAAGTTCTCTTGCGTACAAACCAACAAACAGCAGGGTGAGTAGTCTTTTCAATTCATAATTGTGTTTACCTCTTACATTTCCAAAATTTTAAAGACGTTCTCAGTTCTTTGTAAAGTACTTAACATTATGACATGTTGTGAAATAGAAGTGTAATCTTTATGTATCTTTGGATAAGGAGTAAAACTATATGGTTAGAGTAAAACAGCAGTCGGTTACCTAAGTGATGGCATTAAAACCTGACAGCATTTATTTAATTATAAAAAATTACTGAAAATTATTCCACAAAATGATAAGACCAAAAATCATTCTGTAATTAAACAAAATAATTAGGTTCTTAGATGTAGCTATTGGCTAAAACTTTTTAGTAAGTTATAATGAATCTTCAATTTTTTTAGTTTAGAAATTATGGAACAGATGGCCTTGCTTCAAGAAACGGCTTATGAAAGGCTTTACCGATGGGCTCAAAGTAGGTGGTTTCTTCTGTGCCGTCTAGATTCCTGAATATTAGTGTTTGATTTTGTTATTTCACTTTGTCTTTATTTGATACCATATTTTGATCTTAGTAATCAAAAATTATTTTTAAAAAGAAAAACTTTATATTTGAGCATATTGTCTTTGTCTTTGTCCCATAAGCATCTGCTCTCATTCAAGCACTATATATAATTAAGGTTGGGAATTTTAAAAAGTCAGTATTTGTGCTCCAGATGATCTTAAAGTTGATTAGACTTCTCTTATGTACATAACTGTGTTATAAATGATGAATTAATTTTCTGTTGCTGCTGTAACAAATTTAATACAATCTTGATGGCTTAAAACACACACATTTATTATCTTATAGTTCTGTAGGTCAGAAATCACTATGCTAAAATTCAAATGTGTACAGGGCTGCATTCATTTCTGGAGGCTCTAAGGAATAATCTGTTTCCTAGTCATTCAGTTTGTTGGCATAATTTAGTTCTTTGAGTCTGAGGACCGAGCTCTGAGTTTCCTTGCTGGTGTCACTGCAGGCTTTTCCCAGCTTCCAGAGGCTGCCTGCATCCTTTGGCTTGCGGCCCCTCCCTCCATCTTTGAAGCCAGCAACAGAAAATTAATTCACTTTGAATCTCTCCTGCCTCTTCTTCCATCTCATATCTGTAGCTGACACTTCTGCTAGTCTCTTCCACTTTTAAGATCTGTATGATTACCTTGAACCTACTTTGAGTAAATATGGAAAATGTCCATATTTTAAGGTCTGGCATCTTAATTCCATCTACTAAGTCCCTTTTGCCACGTAAGATAACATATTCACAGGTTTCAGGGATTAGGGATCCTTGGACGACCATTATTTTGTCTACCACAAATGGTTTACTTGCTTTAGCTTTGTTTTAAAATGTTTCAATAGTCTGTTCACAGAATTACCTGTTGAAAACAAAGTAGGTAGTTAAGACAAAGAATGGAACACATGCACGTTGCACGTGATATTTTAATAGGTGCTACCAGCTGACTGTTGGAAGGAGTTGGGATTAAATCCAGTTACCTGGCACTTGTGCGAGACTGGAAAACTTTATTATCTATTTCACGTGATTTACTCTTTAGCTCTGAAACCTGTTTCTTTTTCTCCCTCTCTTGTTTGTGCTATTTACTCCTATTTGGAGTGTTGTCTGGCTTTCTCTCTTTATATCCAAACCCTCCCTCGATCTTCATAGTGAAGCTTGGGTTTCACATCTTCTTGGAACTCTCCATGACTACATTAAATCAGTGATTTTTCCCATCTCTGAACACTAACTGCTGAAAATATTTATTTGGTATTTCACAATTTACTGCTCTATACTTAACTTGTCATATATGTATGTCTTAGCTCTCCAGTTTAGATTTCTGTTTTCTTAAAGGCAAGGACATTGCCTTACATTTCTTTGTGCTCCGATGACATCTATCTGACATGGTAGTTCCAAACTGTGCCTTTCTGACTCCTAGGGACTCTGGAGTCATCATGAGGTGTCTCCAGTTCCATACATGGATTATATTTTTCTCAGTCAGTGCACACTAGGAAATACACTGCTAGCGAGTTCCTCATATGCCAAAAGTTTGGGAATTTCTGAACAAGTTACGAGATCTTTCAACAGAATAGACATTTAATAAGCATTTTATGGATAAAATTAAAATAGTAAAATAAAGAACATGTTGAGATTTTTAAGAGTTTAAAGTCTAAACTACTTTGAAATTATCCTACTACTGTATATTAGTTGCCCATATAAATGGTTTGAGCAGACTGCTTACAGATTGCTCCCAAGGTAAGGAACTGGTAGTATATTTAGTTCTCCCTTCCCCTCTTGACTTTGCCACGTGTGTTGCAGTTATTTAGTGCATATTTGTCCATTTACTGCTTTCTTCAGAACTGTAGCTTTTTATAATAATAAAATATGTGGTATATCAGATAGCAAATGTGGTCATTTGAAGTTTTATAAATATTTACGCTTTAATTTTTAGTTTAATAGCATGGGCTAGTTTTTGATTGACATGTCCTCTAGATTTTTCCGAGGATTTTTTTCGTGCAGTATTTAGACTCTGGAGTGTATAAGAGACATAATAGAGACCTAGTTTTAATTTAACATGTGTTATAATACAATGTTAACTATTTTCCAGGTGAATGCAGGACATTGACACAAGAATCATGTGACATATCTCCAGTACTAACTCAGGCAATGGAAGCCCTGCAGGATAGACCTGTCTTGTACAAGTGGGTGGCTTTTTCCTAATTAAAAAAAACCCTACCTTTTCTTTGATAATTTACATTAACTTTCAGTATTATCAAATTCATATACAGTAGTTTGAACAATACAGTAATTTACAGTGATGTTTTTGTCTCATCTGGGAACCACTGGAGCATCAGTTTATTTGCACATTACATGCTGTAGAATGCAACATGGAGACGAAAACCAAGGGGTCCTTATATCAAGACTACTTATTTGTGTAGAGGTCAAGGGCTTTTCCCCAGTCTGTCTTCTCATTAACAACTTGGAAATGTGTGTAATTAAAACTCCTGTATCATCCTTGCTTCAGAGAGAAGGAGGTTAAATAGACTGAAAAATGTAATTACTCACAGATGAAAAAAGAAATTTAAAATCAGGACTCCATTGTAGAACTCAAGAGAAGAAACAGTTCAGGTTTTTGATTCTGTAAGTTATGCCAGCCAAGAGATAGGTGATAATGCTTTGGGTTAAGGATCTTATGCATTATTAACATACATTTTTTTTATTATTCTGTATTTTAATTGTATTTTTCATATAAAATAGAAGTAAATACTTTTTTATTTTTAATGCGTGGGATAGTATGAAAATAGGAAGACCAAGTGGGGAGTTAAAATTCAGGAAGCAGAAAGCCAGGGTACTCCTGCATAGGTGTTCAGTCCTGCTCTGAGTCATGCCTTTCAGATGCTTACATATTTTTAGAGGACTTCCTTCTTACTTTGTTTTCTGATTGGAACATTACTTGTCCTGTAATAAGATTCGAAGACACCAGTGCTGGGACAGCTGCATAAAATACTACATTCCAGTGCACTTACCGAGGACTTACTACTATGAATTAAGCATGGTTCTCAGTGCAACAGACTTAACATCAATAAAACATTGCCTTCAAATTGCTTTATTTTATAGAACCAGACATAAACAGATCCACTTTATTGGATATATTGTTTGCTTTTCTGTAAGTCCTGTCTCAAGTGGTTATGACTCAAGTATTCTGTGGTGGAGAAGGAGGCGAACACTAGAGGGGAAAGGAAACTTTCCTCCGGGAAGTAGGTGTAAAGGGAGTGCTGAAGGTTTAACAAGCATTTTCCAGGAAAAGAAGGGAAGAGAGAACATCTCAGGCAAGGGAAGAGCAGGTTGCAAAGCTGTGATTTGAGGAGGAACACGTGCCTTTAGGAAACGGCCAAAGCTTGCACAGGGGGTCGGCAGCAGGGGCTGGCGCGTCCCCGCCCGCAGGCTGCGTGGCGCCGTGATCGGCTGGCGTTCCTCGTGCAGCGACCTTTACCGACTTGCACATTTCTGTCTCAGCTTTTTCACCGTAAGTTATTGCTGTTTGATAATGAGAATCTTTTACTATTTGAAATACTTGGTGTTTGATTTGGTGTTTGTTTAATGATGTGTTACATTGTCTGCAGATTCATATTTGTTCACAAGGTGGTTAATCTTTTTAAAAAATGCCTTTGTGTTTACTGGGCTTCTGGGAAGATCAGCTGACTTCAAACCATGTAGATATATTTTTTCTAAATTTTATTTCTTGATCAATGCTTGGAAAGGAGCAATATTGCATAATGATCTAAAAGATGGGCTCTAAGTTAGATTTCTTGACAAGCCCCTGCACTTCGGTTTCCTTAAGCTGTAAAATGAGGATAAAAATAGTGCCTATCTTTCTGGGTTGTTGTAAAGATTAAATTAGAACGTTCACATAAGGTGTTTAGCATAATGCTTTACTCATCACAAAATATTAGCTATTATTTTTATTTTGAAAAGAGATGGAAGGTTGTCAGCTG